TGCTTGTTACAGAAGTTAACTCTGACCCCATCTAAAAGATAGGGTTGGCGTTTGAGCAGAGGTGCAGGGCTGGGACCCCTTCTCCAACCCTGGGAATCCCTCACCTGACAGGATTTGGGGCGTTTACACAGGGATCCCTGGGGACAGTGTCTGAGGCTCAAGTAGCTGGAGGGCCAGGGACATCTTTGAATAGTACAGGCTCTTAGCCAAGCCCCTGAAACCCTGCCCTCCTCCTGGAAGCCTGCCCTGCCCCAATGACTTTGACTTATGAAGACCCTATAGTTACCTCGGTTTAAAGGGAATGGCCAGACCAGCTTCACAGCTTGCCAGGCAGGGCTGGAATCCACATTTAATCGGTACTGCCTCATTGAATGCCAGATGGTGGGGTTCTTGTTGGGCTATGTGGGGTGAGTCTCCCTGTGGAAGCGCAGACCTGGCCAGCTGACCAGAAGGGTACAATCGAAAATATTTTTAAGCAACTGGATCAGATTTATGGGCCCAAGCCCCACGAACAGATGAAAGTGTTCTGTGCTCAGGCTCAGAAACCTACCGAGCCACTCAGGGTCTTCAGCAATAGCCGCCAAGTGATCCTTCATTCCATCAAAAAGATGAGGCCTTCCCTGGCCTAGGACCTAGAACACGAACTGATGTGCAGAAGGCACTTGTAATGCTGTTGATCAGCAGCCTTTGCGCTCCCTCCAGGTCCAATACCCCAATATGGAGTTTGAGAACTTTAAGGAGAAGGTTATGGAGGAAGTGGGGTTGCAAACACCTGAGAGCCAGGGCTAGACAGCCATCCCTATGCTGGGATTGGGTTACCCATACCTGATATTTGGGGCTTGGCTGGAGGTGTACTGAAGCTTCCCAGCTAGCACGGAGACCCACATCATCCCCTGAGAGAGAGAGAGAGAGAGAGAGAGCAAGCAGACTCCAGGACAAATGAAGAAATCACCCAGATGGTGATGCCCCACATGGCAGCCGATATGGTTCTCCAAAGCCTGTCATGATGCTTTAGGCCACTTAGGCCCCAAGAAGGCTGAGATGAATGTTCACATGAGGTTTTACTAGGTGGGGATGGCCTGAGCCATTCAGGATTGGCATGATAACCACCCAGTCTGCACCAGCAGAAGGAACTCCAGGGTGGGAGACAGGGCCCCTCTCCAGATGATGGAGACCAGCATGCCCTCGGAGTTGGTAGCACTGGACCACTTGGGGATGAACTCAAGCCAAAGCAGTGCATCCTACATCTTGACCATTGTGAATCAATGCCCCAAATTCTTGGTTGCCAGGCTCCTTTTGAAGATCACAGCCAGAGCAACCACAGAAGCCTTTCAGAGCTACTGTGTCCAGCCCTACGGCTACCCCACCAAGGTGCTCATGGACCAGAAACACCCTTCAAGTCACAGACGTTCAGTGATCAAGACAGTTCAGAGTTACTGTCGTATTTGGCTATGAATTGATGACTCCAAAGCATTTGGTACTGTCCGACATCACTGCCTCTGGAAGATACTGGCAGATGAGGAGATTCCAAAGCATTCATTGTACTCATCACAACTCTGTACTGTCAACAAGAGACGACGGTGCAAACAGCAGCAGGAGTCAGCAAGTGGTTTTCCATAGGGCAGAGTGAGAGACAATGGTGCATTCTGTGCCCAAGTCTTTTCAACATGTATGCAGAATTTATTATATGAGAAGCCTGGACAGTTGGATAAAGTGGAAGGAGCTGGGATTTCCATTGGCGTACACTTTTTAACTGACCTCAGATATGCTGATGATATAACGCTATTTGTTGCAACCATCAATGCAATGCAATGCAATGCAATGAATGAAGGAGTCTGTAAAAACAGTCAGTGAGGAATATGGACTATCCCTGAAAGTGGTGAAAACTAAATGCATGTACATTGACATTATCAATAATAACAGGATGCCAACTGACATCATTTTCATGCTGTGTGGAGTGGCTCACAACCTTGAGTGCCAACCTCAGGGCAGACTGTCAAGAAGCAGGGCAGAGACCCCAAACCGGTGGTATGTTCTCTAATTAGATTTAACCAACCCAGTAACAGGTGTGAACTCCTAAAGCACTATAACAGTTTTACCATGGAGTCTCAGACAGTCCCTTTGGGCATTCCAGCCTATCTTGCCACTGAGGCAAGCTGGTCTTGTGATAGATGGTCACTTACACCAAAAATCACATCAATATTCAGGTTACTCCCAGTCCCAAATGACTAGTCACTTACCCCAGGTCAATTGCAAAGACAACACTTGTAGCCAATCCTGTAATAAACTAACTAAAGGTTTATTAACTAGGAAAAAGAAAATGACAGTTACATTCATCACTACTGAATGCTCAGTGCTTTGAATTAAGGAAATCTCATTAACATGGGACACAATGCATAATGAGGAGATCCTTATCTGGATAATATTTTTTGTCATACACTGTCCCTGGCGTTGTTACTGTCCTCATTTGAGATTGCATTCTAGGATAGGATTATCTGCAGTGGAGGCTGAATACTTTAACCACTTCATTAGATGTCTCCAGGACTGCCTTATGTAAGTAATGAGTTATTTTTGGCATTCTCAGTCCCCTGAAGAGATATGTGATTGACTTCTTGTACAGATGTCAGTTAGTAAAGATGTAATCCAAAGAGAAACCAAAAATTGCCCCAAATACAGCAACTATCAAATATGGCATATTAAAACCTCACAACTTTTATATTTATCTCTACTGTTGTTCTTTTAATGTTTATTCCCTGCCTGTGGCAAGCTTTCATATCACCCAATACCCTCTGATGACAGAACAACATCAGAAACCCTTCTGAGGGGAAGCAGGGATCGGGGGAAGCATTTATGTGCAGTATTCTCTTAAACCCTGTCTACTCTAGGGTTTTTTAACACAGATTCCCCACCATTGCTACAACTGGTGGAGTGAAAGTTCTAGTGCAAATAAAGCAATTGCTACTGTTACAAAAGTGTTTTCTGTCTGAACATATATAGTTGGTTAATAGCTGCAGTGCCAGTAGATAGTACTCAAGAATATGTAGCATAGTTTTTGGGTTTTGTAGGATGAACAAAACGTTGTGCCCTAAAAATGGTTTTCTCTGTGCAGCTTACATGAACCCTAACATGGTGTCAGAAGAAAGGTATTTGGGGAGAGGGATAGTTCAGTGGTTTGAGCATTGGCCTGCTAAACTCAGGGTTATGAGCTCAATCCTTGAGGGGGCCACTTAGGGATCTGAGGCAAAATCAGTACTTGGTCCTGCTAGTGAAAGCAGGGGGCTGGACTTGATGACCTTTCAAGGTGACTTCCAGTTCTAGGAGATAGGATATCTCCATTATAAAAAATAAAAATAAAAATTGACAAAGACTTGATAAGCTTCACTGATGAACTTATCAAAAGGAAAATCAAGAGGTGATTTAATTATGGTGTATAAGTACTTTCACGGGAGAACATACTGCATATTAAAATGCTACTCAATCTAGCAAAGAAGGATTAAAGCCAGTCAAATTCAAATCAGAAACAAGGCACACATTTTTAACAGTGAGTAATTAACCACTGGAACAACCTACCAAGGGAAGTGATGGATTCTTCATTTCTTGAAGTCTTCAAATCAAGACTGGACACCCTTCTGGAAAATATGCTGTGATGCTTCTTGGGGGTACCCAGGGTTGTGAGGCGCCTCACTACCAACTGCCCTTAGTGTGAGGAAACCTTGTCAGTGCTTGCTGGGGGTTTGTTCCCCAGCACCTTTAGCCTCTGGCAATGCAAGTACTGCCTTCCAGGACTCTGCATGCCCTGCTCTCTTTTTACAGGTTATTGACAGGCACATTCCAATCCCCAAGTCCTCCAAGTGTAAACCTCACTCCCTGATCCACTGGACCCTCACAGAATTCCCAGATCCACTGTTCCCAAAGGACCAGTATATCCCAGCTTCACAGTTATCTCAGAATACAACTCTGCTTAACACGCCGCAGTTAGATTTATTTATAGAGAAAACAAGTATAAATTAATTTAACAAAGAACAGAGATTCAAATGAGAGCAAGCAGAATATTGCAAACAAAGGCTTACATATAAAATAAAATCATAACACACATACTGGAGCCTAAACTTAACTAATATGACATAATGTCATAAGAACAAAAATTCACCCTAAATCCTTGCAGTGTATTACAGCATGGCTTGGCTGTGATCTTCTGTTCATGAAGCAACCCACTGACCGCTAACTTGATAGTAGGAAGAATAGGAGTACTTGTGGCATCTTAGAGACTAACAAATTTATTTGAGCATAAGCTTTCGTGGGCTACAGTCCACTTCATCGGATGCATAGACTGGAACATACAGTCTTGATAGTAGAGTGTCCCTTTGCAATCCCAAATGTATCTTGATCTTTATTCATAAACTAGATACACTCCTGTTTGTATTCCTTCCCATAGATTTTACGATCTCTTGTTAATTTCTTAATCTTGATTAGCTGATGACACAGTATGAAAATAGATATCCATTGTGAAGTAACCGATACTCAATTTTCATATAACCAGACTGATAAGTGTCTCCTGCCTGTCTGAAAGAAGCATGGTTGTCACCTCCTAGTGACCTGCTTTAACTCATAGACCTTAAGGACATAATTTCCAGTATAGGCACATATCTCCTTAAATATTATCCTTACATATATTTTGCAATGGTTATGACGACAAGTTTGTTACTGGTTTTCAGTGGAGACCTCCCATGCCACCTTTTAGTGAATTGTTACAAATATAACTGACCTACGGGCTTCCTGTAAAACTCTATTCACCGACTGTGCCATCTGCCAGTTGGCATCAAGAAGTTCCTTGGTCACATTTGCTGTAGTCAAAAAAGGTATTGAGCTCAATACAGGAGCAACTGAATGAAATTCTATATATAGAAATTCTGTAATATAGGAAGTCAGACTAGATAATGTAATGGTCCTTTTCTAGCCTTAAAATCTATTAATTTTACTCTTTTCATTCTCTGTTGTAGCTTATTAGAGACACTGAATCATGTTGGGAATGACTGTGATCAACATTCTGCTCCCTGCTGTGATGCAAATGCATGGAAATATCTGAAAACTGGAACTTCTTCAGGAACTCCTGGATAAAGTAGGAAGTAGCTATAAGAATAATGCACTGAATAAAGCAGTGGGTAAGGATTGCTTCCTAGTCTGTCAGCACTTACAGCTAGCAGATGAAGAAAGGCAAAAGTGTAAGTAATCTGAAATGCTCTAGAAAAATTCTTTGTGCTTAAAAGCAATGCAATATCAGAGGTATATTTTCAATGTATATAATCAAAGTGAAATAGAAGCTATAGACTAATATGCAACAAGGTCATGCCAGTTAGACATATCATGCACATTTGGCACACTTACAGACAAACTTATTAGAGATCATGTCGTTTTAGGCACCAAAGATAATGAAGCCAGAGTGATCTTAGTTGTAATGCTGCTATTTGCTGCAGCAGCAAAACAAGCAAAGAAACAGCTACAAAAACTGAAAGTATTAGAAATAGTGGAAGATATGCAAACATACAGAGTAAATCAAGAAACAGAGTAGACATCTGCAAAGAAAGACAAGCAATACATAACATAAGAATGGCCATACTGGGTCAAACCAATGGTCCACCTAACCCAGTATCCTGTCTTCTGACAGTGTTCAGTGCCAAGTTTCTCAGAGGGAATGAACAGAACATTAAGTGTTATTTACCCCTTCACATATTCACTTATTCCATATATTCATGATTTTATAGACCTCTGTCATATCTCCTTAATCATCTCTTTTCTAAGATGAACAGTCCCAGTCTTTTTTAATCTCTCTTCATATGGAAGCTCTTCCATGCCCCTAATCATTTTTGTTGTCATCCTCTGTATTTTTTCCAATCCTAATGTATCTTTTTTGAGATGGGGTGACCAGAACTGCACACCGTATTCAAGGTGTTGGCATACCATGGATTTATATAGTGGCATTATGGTATTTTCTGTCTTATTAGCTATCCACAATCTCTTTCTTCAGTGATAACAGCTAATTTAAACCCCATCATTTTGTATATAGAGATGGGATGTTTTCCAATGTGCATTATTTGCATTTATCAACATTGAATTTCATCTGCCATTCTGTTGCCCAGTCACCAGTTTTGTGGGATCCCTTTGTAACTCTTCACAATCAGCTTTGGACTTATCTTGAGTAATTTTGTACTGTCTGCAAACTTTGCCACCTCACTGTTTACCCCTTTCCCCCAGATAATTTATGAATATGTTGAACAGCAATGATCCCAGTACAGATCTCTGAGGGACACCGCTATTTACCTCTCTTCACTGTGAAAAATGACCAGTTATTCTTACCTTTGTTTCCTGTCTTTTTTAACCAGTTACTGATCCATGAGAGGACCTTCTTTCTTATTGCATGTCTGCCCACTTTGGTTTTTGCCTTTGGTGTTGGACCTTGTCAAAGGCTTTCTGAAAGACCAGATACACTATATCAACTGGATCACCCCTCTCCACATGTTTGTTGACCCCCTAAAAGAATTCTAATAAATTGATGATAGATTGATGAAGCATGATTACAAAAGCCATGTTGTGACTATTCCCTAACACAGTGTTTCCCAAACTTGGGATGCTGCTTGTGTAGGGAAACCCCTGATGGGCCGGGCCGGTTTGTGTACCTGCCGCGTCCGCAGGTCCGGCCGATCACGGCTCCCACTGGCCGCGGTTTGCTGCTGCAGGCCAATGGAACACATATCATGTTCATCTATGCGTCTGATAATTTTGTTTTTTTCTATTGGTTGAAACTGAAGTTAGGCTTACTGGCTAGTAATTGTCAGGATGGCCTCTGGAGCCTTTTTAAAAATCAGCGTTACATTAGCTATCAGCCGCTCATCTGGAACAGAGGCTGATTTAAATGATAGATTACATACCACAGTTCTGCAGTTTCATATTTGGTTCTTTAAGAACTCTTATAAATACATAAATTAATGGAGATATCCTATCTCCTAGAACTGGAAGGGACCTTGAAAGGTCATTGAGTCCAGCCCCCTGCCTTCACTAGCAGGACCAAGTACTGATTTTGCCCCAGATCCCTAAGTGGCCCCCTCAAGGATTGAACTCACAACCCTGGGTTTAGCAGGCCAATGCTCAAACCATTGAGCTATCCCCCCATGGGTGAATATGATCTGGCCTTGGTGACTTATTACTGTTTAATTTATCAATTTGTTCCAAAACCTCCTCTATTGACACCTCAGTCTGGGACAGTTCCTCAGATTTGTCACCTAAAAAGAATGGCTCAGGTGTGAGAATCTCTCTTACATCCTCTGCAGGTAAGACCAATGCAAAGAATTCATTTAGCTTCTCTGCAATGGCCTTGTCTTCTTTGAGTGCTCCTTTAACACCTTGGTCATCCAGTGGCCTCACTGTTTGGCAGGCTTCCTGTTTCTGATGTACTTAAAGTGTTTTGCTGTTAGTGTGTGTATCTTTTGCTAATTGCTCTTCGCATTCTTTTTTGGCCTAATTATACTTTTACTCTTGACTTGCCAAGTTTATGCAACTTTTTATTTTCTTCAGTAGGATTTGACTTCCAATTTTTAAAAGATATCTTTTTGTCTCTAACTGCCTCTTGTACTCTGTTGTTTAACCAGGGTGGCGCTTTTTGGTCCTCTGACTTTTTGTTTTTTATTTTGGGTTTCCATATTGTTTGAGCATCTGCTTTGGTATTTTAATAAAATTTCCATGCAGCTTGCAGGTATTAGACTTTTGTGACTGTTTCTGTTTAACTAACACACAAAGATGTTAAATATAATGCATGTGTTGTGAGAGAACATGAAAGAGATCAATGTCCATCATATGGTACCATATTATGCTTATTGCAAAAAAAGAAATCATTGTGGAAAAAGTTTGCAAACAGTGACAGAAACAGTCCGAAAATATAGTCTAAGGGGGGGAAGGGGGGAGAGTAACAACTATACGTCCTCAGATGATTTTGTTTCACCTCTACCTGTTGCATTTGGGTTGTGAAGAACAAAGAAAAAAGTGGTTTGTACAGCAAAAACTTTAAACAGCACCAGTTCAGATATTCAAATCTTCTGCTGCCAGTGGGTCTACTTGCAACATACAATATTTAATGCTTACTGCAAAATTGTGCAAGTTAAATCCCCAAACTTCTGGAAAGCAACTCCAGGCTAAAATTCTATGATAGCACATTAGTGTGCCTCCTTGGACAATGCACGTTGTCATGTCCATAAAAGGTTAATTGTATTGCCACAACCATTATTCCCTAACAACCAAGTAATAGTTGCCATCAAGGAATGACTCAAGTGGATTCCTTAACCTGGCTGAGGTGCAGGGGAGACTGGCAGTGACCAGTGACCCTCCTGTGACCCTCAGGAGTTGGCAGTGGTGATGCCAGAAAACCCTGCAGCACAGAAGTCTTGATGCTTGCGCTCATGAGACAAGGAAAAGAATCAAAAATAAAACCACATATAGTGGAAGAACAGTAAAGTTACCTAGCTATTTTAAAGACTATATAGTTAATTTTAATTACTTGATTTCCTTTACAGGGAGAGAGCTGTTACAAGAGTGTGCTATGTATGTATATATATAAAAATAGTTGAAAGATAAGATCACAGTAGATGACACTCAAGAATATATAGCATAGATACTGGCTTCTATAGGACCAAAAAACCTGTTGTTCATTGCTGATGGCTTCCTTTGTTCCACTCTTTACAGCTACTCTGAAATGGCTAGCACCAATGTTTTAGTTCAATGTCATTTAGAACTGCTCCTCTGGTCACTTTTGCTCCTATGCAGAGATAAATTGTGCCTATCCCTTAATGTTTGCAAAGTGCTGGAAGATTCTCAGATGAAAGTTGAGATGAAAGTGCAAAGTATTATTCACCGAAAGCATTAGCAAAGCCAGAAATCTCAGAATACTTTTGTGAACATCATGACAAAAAAGGTTTATTTTGCATTCCCTCTGATAAACTTGGGTGTGTGATGTGGTAATGAAAATGACCTTGCTTATCTAAGGTTTTAGTTTTGGTGGTTTTTTTTATTTTGTCTTGCTGTTCTTGGTTTCACTTGGCTTAGTTTATCCGCTACTGGATGTGCTAATTAATGACTGCTACGTGCTAAAAGACCACAGTAAGGCAGGTAGTCTCAGAATGTTCTTGCCAAGTTTTTAGGATTAGCAGTTTATTTAGTATACTCTGGTTTCTCTTCAGATCGTATAAATCTTTTCCTTTTACACTCGATCACACTGGACTGCATGACATTGAGTGGAAAATGTTAATTACAGTAGAACCTCAGAGTTACAAACACCTCAGGAGTGGCGGTTATTCATAACTCTGAACAAAATGTTATGGTTGTTCTTCCAAAAGTTTACAACTGAACATTGACCTAATGGAGCTTTGAAACTTTACTATGCAGAAGAAAAATGCTGCTTTTAACCATCCTAATTTAAATGAAACAAGCAAAGAAAGTTTTTCCTTGCTTTGTCAAAATTTTGTTTTAAACTTTCCCTTTATTTTTTTTGTAATAGTTTACATTTAATACAGTACTGTGCTGTATTTGTTTTTTGTCTCTGCTGCTGCTTGATTGCGTACTTCTGGTTCCTAATGAGGTGTGTGATTGACTGGTCAGTTCGTAACTGGTGTTCAGAACTCTGAAGTTCTACTGTACTTGTGCAAATGTTGCTATTAGTTTTGAATTTGTTTGGCCAACTTTTAGAGATTTGAAGATGATCTGGATATGCTCACACATTTCCAATAATCTCTAGATGATTTTTTAAAGCAGTGAAGTATGAGTATTGAGTACCATTTTGGTACTAAGCAATTTGTAATGGAGCAGGGAGGATACTGAACAGAAGGCTAAATTTTCAAAGGACATTTAAAGTGCACAAACAAAGGGAAATTAAGGACTCAATTTCAAAAGACAGTGCTTTGACAAAAGTAATTGAAGCACCTATTGCAAATGAAGAGGGATTTTGCACACTCACCTGTATGTTTAACTTTTCCATGAGATTCCTCAACTGCACATCTCAAATATCATCCCTCTGGACTTCAGCAGAGTTACTCCTAATATATACTGACATGAGAGGAGAATCAGGCCCAAAGCATCTTAAGGGCTTGTGTACATGCTCTAATTGCCACATGTAGACCCTGCTACAATGCTCTAAATCAGGGGTAGGCAACCTATGGCACGCATGCTGAAGGCGGCACGCAAGCTGATTTTCAGTGGCACTCACACTGCCCAGGTCCTGGCCACCAGTCCAGGGGACTCTGCATTTTAATTTAATTTTAAATGAAGCTTCTTAAACATTTTAAAAACCTTATTTACTTTACATACAACAATAGTTTAGTTATATATTATAGACTTATAGAAAGAGACCTTCTAAAAAACGTTAAAATGTATTACTGGCACGCGAAACCTTAAATTAGAGTGAATAAACAAAGACTTGGCACAGGACTTCTGAAAGGATGCCGATCCCTTCTCTAAATAATGTAGCTAGTTTGCATTAACAAAACAGGACTATGTTAACATGAACAAGTTACCTTTTGAGTGTGCCAGCGGCATTTACATGGTGCAATTAGAGTGCTTTACATATCACACCCTTCTGCTGTGCTTTGTCAGCCCCTTGTAAACAAGCTAAGCAACTTTACTCTATGTAGAGAGAACAGAGGGGAGCACTGTGTATTGAAGGAAGCAAAACAACTGAGCTATGGGATTTTCTTCCATTTATTTGATAAATATCAGATTATGGTTTCAGGCAAAAAAGCAAAACAGAAAATTATGGCTTTGGACACCCTTCCAAAGTGATTATTCTGGTGTAGTACAGCCAACTATGCCCTCTCCGAGAGCTACTCCCCACTTCTTTCCTTTTGTGTTTTCATATATTTTACTGATTATTCAAAACACAAAGCAAAAGGAAACAATCTGACAAATCAAAGCAGTGACAAAACATACAATAATACACTCATTAGTTACATTGTCATCCCTCTGAAATTCCAGAAGAGGGAGGAGGACCAAGGCCTGTTGACCAAGAAGTCCTGAGGGTGATGAAATACTTTAACTGTCTAACTGTGTGTGGTTACAACTATCTGCTGTCTCAATTTCCAAGACTGCAGTGCCCTAATCTGCTAAATGCTCAGCACATTCCACCAGGCCCTGAAACATTTCAAACTTTGCAGCAGATAAGGTTATTATTAATTGGTTAATAGACAGATTAGAGCTGTCCTTCCAATGCTGGACCATCAGCTTCAGAAATACACTCTCTCTCCACCTGGGTGCTTTTGAACCATTTCCCCTTTATTCCCTCCCAAGCAAATCTGCATTAAACCAACTTGATTGACTGTTCTCCATCTAATTCAGGAACCAGGGCTAAAAGAAGAGAAAACAGATTGGAGAGCACCTCCTGCTCCTCTGGTTAAAGCAGAAGCAAGCACCCCCACAGTTCTTCTTCCAGTTCCACTGGTACAGTTAAGCTCCCCTTCCTGTTTCAGTCTACTTTAATGACCACTCAGGAGCAAAACGTTAACTAGTCCCATGCATTTTTCTTTTCCATCTCTGCAATCCAGGAAGCCTTTGGTTTGGTACTTTAGCCATTTTAACTCCTTGGGGAACATTCTACTGAAAACTCATAAGGGTAAAAATGTGC